AATGGATGTTGTACTTTATCAAATGCTTTTTTTTCTGTATCTACTGAAATGATCATATGGTTCTTACCCTTTCTCTTATTGTTGAGATGAATAACATTGATTGATTTGTGAGTATTGAATCACCATTGCAACCCTAGAATAAATCCCACTTGATTGTGGTGAATGGTTCTTTTAATGTATGATTGAATTTGGTTTGCTAGTGCTTTTTTCATGTTGCTAGTATGAAGGAGTTTTGCATCTATGTTCATCAGGTATATTGGCCTGTAGTTCACTTTTTTATGATATATTTATCTGGTTTTGATATTGGGATAATTTTGGTCTCATAGAATGAATTTGGAATTTTTGCTTCCTTTTCTATTTTTGGAATAGTTTGAGAAGTATACGTATTATCCTCTTTATTTTTTTATTTTTTTATAAATTAATTTTTATTGGTGTTCAATTTACCAACATACAGAATAACACCCAGTGTTCATCCCGTCAAGTGTACCCCTCAGTGCCCGTCACCCATTCACCCCCACCCCCCGCCCTCCTCCCCCTCCACCACCCCTAGTTCATTTCCCAGAGTTAGAAGTCTTTATGTTCTGTCTCCCTTTCTGATATTTCCCACACATTTCTTCTCCCTTCCCTTATATTCCCTTTCACTATTATTCATATTCCCCAAATGGCAAAGAGGGAAACTGAGGAAAAAAGAGACAATCAAATAAGGGACCATGAAGACAGATTAAGGGAAATAAATGACAGTCTAAGGAAGAAAAACCTACATTTAATTGGGGTTCCCGAGGGCGCCGAAAGGGACAGAGGGCCAGAATATGTATTTGAACAAATCCTAGCTGAAAACTTTCCCAATCTGGGAAGGGAAACAGGCATTCAGATCCAGGAAATAGAGAGATCCCCCCCTAAAATCAATAAAAACCGTTCAACACCTCGACATTTAAGAGTGAAGCTTGCAAATTCCAAAGATAAAGAGAAGATCCTTAAAGCAGCAAGAGACAAGAAGTCCCTGACTTTCATGGGGAGGAATATTAGGGTAACAGCAGACCTCTCCACAGAGACCTGGCAGGCCAGAAAGGGCTGGCAGGATGTATTCAGGGTCCTAAATGAGAAGAACATGCAACCAAGAATACTTTATCCAGCAAGGCTCTCATTCAAAATGGAAGGAGAGATAAAGAGCTTCCAAGACAGGCAGGAACTGAAAGAATATGTGACCTCCAAACCAGCTCTGCAAGAAATTTTAAGGGGGACTCTTAAAACTCCCCTTTAAGAAGAAGTTCAGTGGAACAATCCACAAAAACAAGGTATTATCCTCTTTAATCTTTTTGTAGAATTCACCTGTGAAGCCATCTGATCATGGACTTTTGTTGGTAGTTTTTTGATTACTGATTTAATTTCTTTGCTAGTTTTCAGTCAGTTCATATTTTCTATTTCTTCCTGTTTCAATGTTGGTAGTCTATGTGTTTCTAGGAGTTTATACATTTCTTGTAGATTGTACAATTTGTTGACAGAGTTTTTCATAATACTCTCTTCAAATTGTTAGTATTTCTGTGGGGTTGGCTGTTATTTCTTCTCATTAGTGATTTTATTTATTTGAGCCCTTTATCCTTATTTTTTAAAGTCTGGATAGTGATTTATCATTTTCATTGATTTTATTTTTAAAGAACCAGCTCCCAGTTTCTTTGATCAATTGTTTTTTTAAGTTTCTATATCATTTATTTCTGCTTTAATCTATTATTTCCTTTCTTCTGCTGGTTTTACATTTTGTTTGTTGTTTTTCTAGATCTTTTAGGCATAAGATTAGGTTGTTTATTTGAGATTTTTCTGTCTTCCTTTAGTTGGCCTATATTGCTGTAAACATCCCTCTTAGAAGCACTTTTGCTCCATCCTAGAAGTTTTGGACCATTGTGGTTTCATTTTCATTTGTTTCCGTGTCTTTTTTTAAAATATTTTATTTATTTATTCATGAAAGACACACATAAAGAGGCAGAGACATAGGCAGAGGCAGAAGCAGACTCCATAAAAGAAGCCCAATACGGGACTCAATCCCAGGACCCTTGGATCATGACCTAAACCAAAGGCAGATGCATAACCACTGAGCCACCTAGATGTCCCTAGTTCCATGCCTTTTTAAAAGTTTTCTTCTTTTGTTTCCTGATTGACTTATTCATTATTTAGTAGCCTATTATTTAACCTCCATGTATTTGTGTTCTTTCCAGATTTTTTTTTTTTGTGGTTGACATAAAGTTTCATAGATTGTGGTCAGAAAAGTCATATGGTATGATTTCAATCATCTTAAATGTGTTGAGGCTTGTTTTGTGGCCAACATGTGATCTATTCTGGAGAAGATTCCATGTGCACTTGAAAAAATGTATATTCTGCTGTTTTAGGAGGGAATGCTCTGAATATATGTGTTCAATCCATCTGTCCAGTGCCATTTTTCTTTGTTAATTTTCTATTTTTAAAAAAGATTTTATTTATTTATTCATGAAAGACACACAGAGAGAGGCAGAGACTCCCCTGTGGGGAGACCAATGTGGGACATGATCCTGGATCCAAGGATCATGACCTGAGCCAAAGGCAGACACTCAGTGGCTGAGCCATGCAGTCATCCCATCAATTTTCTATTTGGATGCTCTGTCCATTGATATAAGTGGGGGGTTAAAGTCCCATAGTATTATTGTTTTATTATTGATTAGTTCCTATATTTTTATTATTAACTCTTATGCATTTGGTTGCTGCTATGTGGGTGCATAAATATTTACAATTATTATGTTTTCTTGTTGGATTGTCCCCCTTCATTATTTTACAGTGTCCTTTGTCTTTTATTACAGTCTTTGTTTTTACATCTGAAATGAGTCTTGTAAGCAGCACCTAGATCCATTCTGACACTCTACGTCTTTTGATTGGAGCATTTATCCCATTTATATTCAAGTAATTATTAATAGATACATTTTTATAGTCTTTTTATTATTTGTTTTCTCTTGTTTCTGAAGATTTTCTCTGATCCTTTCTTCTGTTTCATGGTTTGCTGATTTTCTTTTGTGATATATTAGTATTCCTTTCTCCTTATTCCTTGCATGTTTATTAGTGGTTTTTGCTATATGGTTACCACTAGGTTTGTATATAACCTCTTCTACATATAGTAGTCTATATTAAGTTGATGGTCATTCAAGTTTGAACCCATTCTTTACCTCTCTCCTCCTCATGTTTTAGGTATATGTTCTTATACTTTATCTATTTTTATTTTTTGAGTTCCTTACCTGATTTTTTTACATAAATATTCATTTTTACTACTTTTGTGTTTCCTACTTTTACACTATCACTTTTGGTCTCTCCTTTCCACTCAATCCCCTTTAATATTTCTTGCAGGGCTGGTTTAGTACTCATGAACTCCTTCACTTTTTGTTTGTCTGAGAAACTCTATCTCTCCTTCTGTTCTGAATGATAACATTACTGTATAGAGTATTCCTAGCTGCAGATTATTCCCATTCAGCACGTTGAATATATCATGCCACTCCCTTCTGGCTTGCCAAGTTTCTGCTGAAAAATCTCCTGCCAACCTTATATGTGTTACCTTATAAATTACTGTATTCTTTCGTCTTGCTACTTTTAATTTTTTTCTTTATCACTATATTTTCCCAATTTAATTACAGTATGTCTTGGTGTGGAGTCTGCTTTTGTTGATTTTCATGGGAGTTCTCTGCCTTTTCATTCTGGATGTCTGTTTCCTTCCCCAGATTAGGGAAGTTTTCAGCCATTATTTCTTCAAATAAATTTTCTGCTAGCTTTTCTCTCTTCTTCTGGTGCTCCTATAATATGAATGTTATTTTGTTTGATGCAGTCACTGAGTTCCTCAGTCTATTCTCATTTTGTATAATTTTTTATCTCTTTTGTTCAGCTTGATTACTTTCTATTGCTCTGACTCTATGTCATTAATTCATTCCTCTCCTTCCAGCCTGCTGTTCATTCCAGGAAATGTGTTTCTCCTTTTGTTTATTGAGCCCTTTATCTCTCGTGTTATTATCAATCTCTATGTTAAGGTCTCACTCTTTCATGTTAATGTCTTCCATTCCTTTCTCAAATTCACTGGGTATCTTTACAATCAGTACTTTAAATTTTCAAACATGTTATTTATATCTGTTTCACTTAGTTATCTGGCCATATCTTATCTTGTTCTTTCATTGGGCTAAATTTCTCTGTCCCTTCGTTTTGTCTGCTTCTCTGTTTCTCTGTGTTAAGAAAGGCAGTTATGTCTTCTGCTCTTGAAAGTAGAGACTTTATGAGGAAAATATCCTGGAATGCCCTGCAGTGCAGTGTCCCCTGGTCACCAGAATTTTGCACTTCAAGAAAGTATCCTATGCATGCTGTTTATGTCCTGCTCTTGTGTCTGAGTCATTTTTCCTTCCAGTGAAATCATCTACACTGGCTTTATGCCTATTGTGGGCTGCCATTTCTATCTGCGGTGTTAGTGGGACCTAGGAAGGCCAGCTTTGAGAAGGCATGCCTGCTGGGGAACTTGAAATTGAGTTTTGACTCAACTGAATACACATTCTTCTCAAGTGCACATGGAACTTTCTCCAGAATAGACCACATACTGGGTCACAAATCGGGTCTGAACCGATACCAAAAGATTGGGATCGTCCCCTGCATATTCTCAGACCATAACGCCTTGAAATTAGAACTCAATCACAAGAAGAAGTTTGGAAGGACCTCAAACACGTGGAGGTTAAGGACCATCCTGCCAAAAGATAAAAGGGTCAACCAGGAAATTAAGGAAGAATTAAAAAGATTCATGGAAACTAATGAGAATGAAGATACAACTGTTCAAAATCTTTGGGATGCAGCAAAAGCAGTCCTGAGGGGGAATTACATCGCAATACAAGCATCCATTCAAAAACTGGAAAGAACTCAAATACAAAAGCTAACCTTACACATAAAGGAGCTAGAGAAGAAGCAGCAAATCGACCCAACGCCCAGCAGAAGAAGAGAGTTAATTAAAATTCGAGCAGAACTCAACGAAATTGAGACCAGAAGAACTGTGGAACAGATCAATAGAACCAGGAGTTGGTTCTTTGAAAGAACTTGCTGAACCTGGTGGGGATGGCCCTACGAGGTTCCCACAGGGACCCGGGAACTGGACGGGGCGGCCTCCAGGGGCTTCCACACTCCTGGGGCAGGAGGGCGCCGGCAGGGAAGGGACATTGCACCGTGGGACATTCGTACCACGGAATGGTGTGCAGGCATTGGAAGGAAGGAAGGAGGCAAATACACATCACTGCTGCGGAGAGACAACAAATATACATATGGGGGTGCCTGGCTGGCTCAGTCAGGAGAGCATGGAATTCTTGATCTCGGGGTCATGGGTTCAAACCCCACAATGGGCGTAGAGATTACTTAAATAAATAAAATGTTTTTTAAAAGTAAAAAAAAAAAGAAAGAAATTGAGTTTTGAGGCAGCCTTGTTAACAAAAATTTATGCTGAGCTATTAGTCCTCTGCTGGATCTCCCCTAGCAATGTGACTGCCGAAGTCTGCACACCAGTGTGGCTGTGGGTGTATTAAATGAACTTGGTAACGGCTGGATGTAGCTGGACATGGCACAGTGATATGGGTTGATGCTGCAAGTTGACTTGGCATAGGACATTGTGGCAGCTGTGCACCTAGCAGATGCATGTGGTGCATATGCATCTTAACAAAATTTTTTTGTGACCCCAGAGCAGGCTTTGAACGGATGAGTTCTCAAGAGAATTTCTGGGCATGGTGCACTGCTTGTATATTAGGTAGAAAGTTTCTATACTGCCTAGGCTCCCACAGTTGGGCTTTATTTATACTTGGAGGCAGGTGAGGTGAATGGCACCTGCCAGGTCCCTCATTTTCAAAGAAGTCCCCCAACACACTCGAAAATCTGTATGAACATATCTGTCTCCCATTTGTCTCCAGTATTGTGTAAATTGCTCTTTTAATGTTGCCTTTTTTGCAGACTGCTATGTCTGTAGGGGTGGTGACCCGCTATCATTCATCCTCCCAGGTAGCCCAATGCTGAGTAGCTGACTTGTAAAGCTCCAGGACCCAAGTCATACTGGTTATACAAACTCAGGGGATATAGCCCTTCTGGTTTTCAAATCCAAATGTTATGGGGATTAATCTTCCCTTGTGAACTACCTGGTATGAGGGCTCATTTCTCTACCTTCTCCCTGCATACATCTCCCTTCCTTTTGCAGACAGTCTTTCTGACTGACCTACACTTTCAGATGCAACTTCTTCTCTGTATTTAGTTGTGTACATTGTTCTGTCAGTCTTTGAATTTCTCTTTGGTTTATTGACTTGGATGTGGAAGATATATAGTTGTAAACATGGGACTGTGTTAGCTCAGGATCCTCCTACTCTTCCATCTTCCCACTATCACATCAGATTTCCTGCACTTTCTACATTATCTTTCTCTACTTAAGACTGTTTTGGTTTAGGTTTATAATTAACATAAATCTTCTTGAAGTAAAAATGAAGGCTTTGATGAGGTTTCTCTATCTTCCCTAAGCCATGGCCTACTTGGTTTCTTAGACATGCTTTGTTGAAATGCTATCCAGTTTTTCTCTTCACCAGAGCAATTACTTCACAAAGCTAGTATGATCTGGTTCAGTAAAGGGTGCATACTCTAGTGTTATGGGCTGAATTATATCTCTCTCTAACATCCATATGTTGAAGCACTAACTCTCCATACCTCAAATTGTGATTTGGAGATAGCATCTTTAAAAATGTGTTTAAGTAAAAATAAGGTCATTAGAGTAGGCCTTAATACAATATGACTGGGGACCTTATAAGAAGTGAAATATTGACATACAAAGAGATTCCAGAGATGTGTACATACAGAGGAAAGACCATGTAATGGCACAGAGAGGAGGAGGCTAACTGCAAGCCAAGAAGAGAGGCCTCAGGAGAATCTAAACCTGCTGACATTTTGATCTTGGACTTCTAGCCTCCAAAACTGTGTGAAAATAAATTTTTCTTGTTTAACTGCCCATTCTCTGTTGTCTTAGTCCTTTTGGACTTTCATAATAAAAATACCAGAGTGGCAGATTCAGTAGATGTCGAGTACCCATTTTCTGGTTCATAGATAGCCATATCCTCACTATGCCCTCCCATGGCATTAGGGGTCTCAGGAGTTTTTGGGGTCTATTTTAAAAAGGCATTTATCCCATTCATGACCTCTTAAAGGCTTGACCTACAAATACTGTTACATTGGAGATTAAGATTTAACATATGAGGGGTACCTCGGTGGCTCAGTTGATTGTGTTTGACTTTTTATTTTTGCTTGGGTTATGATATCAGGGTCATGAGACAGAACTCCATGTTGGGCATAGAGCCTGCTTAAGATTCTCTCTCTCTGTCTCTTCCTCTCTCCGTTCACTCTTCCTCTCTCCCCTGCTCATGCATACTCCTTCTCTCTTAAAAAAAACATGAATTTTGAGAAACACAGTATTCAATCTATAATATATCATATTTTGTTATTACACCCATAGAACACCAATATATTTAGAGATGATAGATAGATAGATAGATAGATAGATAGATAGATAGATAGAAAAAGGCAAGTGGATCCAAGTCCTCCACACAGTGTTAAAACAATTTTAGCCCTAGATTAGATTGGTAAAAATATTTATTTTTAACTTTAAGGGCAGTGTATGTTAAAATCAGATGTAATAAATTAGAAAAGAGGGGGGAAGACAAAGGACAAAACAGATTCTGAATTAAAGAGACCAAACTGATGGTTACTAGAGGGGAGACAAGAGGGGAATGGGGGAAATAAGGGATGAGGATTAAAGAGTGCACTTATCATAATGAAACTAAAATAAAATAAATGGTATATCAGGTATTATTTTAATGTTTTATACATCACATACTTCAAATTATCAAGGGTGTCCCTCATTCCTTGGTAACTTGCTTCATATATAGTTGCCTTCAGGGCACAGGAAAATTATATTATGAGTATACTCAGTGAACATAGAAATAGCTGGTAACCACTCTCTATCATTTTAACACAGTAGTTTAAAAAAAGAGTTATTGGAAAACATTAATCTAAAACTCTCAACGGAGTATACACAAATACCTTGGAATCCCTAATAAGGTTTTAAAAAATATTTCTATTCAAGTTTATTTGAAATATGCACTCATTATAAGTCTACTTCTTAATTCCCATCACTTATTTAACCCATGCCTCCATCTACTTCCATCCGGTAACCACCAATTTGTTGTCTATAAATAAGAATCTCTATATTGGTCTGTCTCTCTCTCTTTTTCCCTTTGCTCATTTGTTTCTTAAATTCCACATATGAGTGAAATCATATGGTATTTGTCTTTCTCTGACTCATTTTGCTTAACATTATACTCTCTAGCTCTATCCATGTCATGGCAAATGGCAAGATTTCATTTCTTTTGATGGCTGAATAATATTCCATGGTATGTTTATACCACATCTTCTTTATCCATTCATCAGTCAAAAACACATAGGCTGTTTCCATAATTTGGTGATTGTGTATGGATAAAACTTCTATGAACATCAGGTACATGTATCAGTTTGAAATATTATTGTTGTATTATTTGGGGGTAAATACCCAGTAGTGTGGTTCATGGATTATAGGGTAGTTCTAAATTTCATTTTTTGAGGAACTTTCATACTGTTTTCCCCAGTGGCTACACCAGTTTACATTCCTACCAACAGTGCAAGAGGACACCTTTTTGTCCATACTCTCACCCACACTTGAGGTTTCCTGTGTTTCATATTGTAGCCATTCTGACAGATATGTAGTGATATTTCATTGTGGTTTTGATTTGCATTCCCCTGATGATGAATGATGTTAAACATGTTTTCATATGTCTGTTGGCCATCTGGATGTCTTCTTTAGAGAAATGTCTATTCATGTCTTTTGCCCATTTTTTAATTGCAGTATTTGTTTTTTTAGGTATTCAGTTGTAACATACCATTTAATATTACATGTGGATTAAAGATTTTTAGTTTATAAAAATATTGACATGTTAGCCTTAATATTTCTGTGTGCAGTTGCTGCTGTGATTGTACAATACCATAGTAATATCAATGATATAAATTAGTGCCTTCTAAATGAACCTTTCTTGGTCAATGTTTTACCCATCATTTTATAATGTACAGTTCTGGAATGGTAAGGTAATTCATATCTTGGACATTGTGTTAAAATGATGGTGTGGTTCTGTTTTTGCTCAGCAATTGATCTTTCAATTTTTTCCATTTTCTAGTATTAATCATGTTTATTGGCCCAATATTACTATCGAGAATTGTCAGTGTTGCAATGTGATTTCTGTAGTTTCTTATTGATTTTAATTGGAATTTCATATTTGTTAATGCAAAATTATGTCAATGTATCAACCATAAATTATTTCCCTGCTCCTAGGCAGTCACTATACAACAGTAAACACCTGGATGAAAAGAGAGAATAATTGGTGTAATCATAGGAGGGTGGTTTTCAATGAATATACCAAGCTTCAGCATGGTCAAGAGAATGCTTTCTGGCTCATTAAGCCAGTCTATGATATTCAATCTTATTTTCTACCTTCTAAGCTTCCATGCATGTAAACTGAATGGCTTATATAAAAACCAGAACAATTAATTACTTATTCCTTTCACATTTGATTGGAAAATCTTTATTCATATAGGCAGGGTCAGGTACCCCTTAGGCTTTATAAAGGCTGCTAGAGAATCTGATGTTTTCTGTTTGGTTTGTTGGTTGGGGTTTCTCTTTGTTTTTGTGTGTTTGTTTGTTTTGGTCTAGTATTCCTCTAAGTTGGAAATTGGCCAAGACTCACTTTAGAATTAAAGACTGACTTCAGCTACAACGGGACTTGAGTCCCAAGGAGGAGATAGATTCCCAGAGCTGGAGTAAGAGTAGATGAATGCAGGGGTGCCTGGGTGGCTTAGTCAGTGAAGCATCTGCCTTCAGCTCAGGTCATGATCAGGGTCCTGGGATCAAGTGCCTGCAATAGGCTCCCTGCTTCACAGGGAGTCTGCCTTTCTCTCTCCATCTGCCCACCCACTGCATGTTCTCACTCTGTGTCTCAAATAAATAAAAAATATTTTAAAAATTATTTTATTTTAAAAAAATAAATAAAAAGATGAATGCATAGAAAGGTTAAAAAAGAAACCTATCAGAGATTCTAGTAGTTCTTGGCTTAAAAAAATTGTAAATCTTTAGAAAGAATACCAATTGGCCCTGAAAGCAATTCCATAAAAAGTCTAGAACCTTACAAATGGCTTTTGTAAATGTGGTGGATGAAAGCAAAAGTATAAAGAAAATGTTCAATCTTTTTGGCCCAGAAATTCCACTCCTAGGAATTAATTGTTTCTAAGAAAAAATTCAAATGAATGTTGTTGGTATTGTTGATTCAGAATAGTGACAAGTTTAGAGCAAAATCAAAATCCAATATTTAGTAAACTATGAGTACAATGACTCAGTAGACTACTTTGTAGCCTATACATATTATTTTATAAACGTGATACCTGAAGCAACATGGTAAAGTGTTTCAAAAGTAATAATTGGTATCCATATGAACAAAGCACTAAAACAAGTGAAAATATTTACGATGTTGAATATTAAGAATATGAGCATGAGGGACGCCTGGGTGGCTCAGTGGTTAAGTATCTGCCTTTGGCTCAGGGCATGATCCTGGAGTCCTTGGATTGAGTGCCACATCGGGCTCCCCGCATGGAGCCTGTTTCTCCCTCTGCCTATGTCTCTGCCTCTATCTCTCTCTGTGTCTCTCATGAATAAATAAATAAAATCTTTAAAAAAAAAGAATAGGAGCATGTGATTTTTATCTTTTTTTATAAATGATTAAATGCACACATTTTACAAAGTGTCCAAGATTCTCATACCCACAACTCTTCACAAAACAGAGTCGGTGTTTTAGGCAACATATGGGATAGAGAAATTCAAGTGGAGACAATAATGACACAGTTCCAGAAAGGGAATGGGAACAGAACTACTGACCTCTGAATGAGTGAACCACTTTACTCAAACAAACGGGGCAGCCCACACAACTATTTTCTTTTCTTTTTCCCCCCAATTTTATTTAAATTATAGACAGTTAAGTTATAGTGTAATATTGGTTTCAGGAGTAGAAGTTAGTGATTCATCAATTACATATAACACCTAGCTCATCACAACTCATGCTCTACTTTATGCCCATCACCCACCCATTTCATTCAATCAACCTTCAGTTTTTTCCTCTGTCATTAAGAATCTCTTATGGTTTGTTCCCCTCCCCTCTCTCTTCCCTTCTTCCTATATGTTCATCTGTTTTCTTTGACTGAATTGTTTGCTTAGTATAATATACTCTAGCTCAATAAATGTCATTGCAAATGGCAAGATTTCATTCTTTTTGGTGGCTGAGGGATATTCCATAATATATATATAATCCCGCATCTCCTTTATCCATTCATCAGTCAGTGGACATTTGGGCTCTTTCCATAATTTGGCTATTGTTGATAGGGCTGCTATAAACATTGTCTTGCATGTGCCCCTTTGAGTTATTTTTGTATCCTTTGGATTACTATCTAGTAGTGAAATTGCTGGATCATAAGTTAGTTCTATTTTTAACTTTTTAAGAACCTCCATGCTGTTTTCCAGAACTGGCTGCACCAGTTTGCATTCCCACCAATAGTGTAAGAGGGTTTCCCCTTTCTCTGCATCCTTGCCAACATTTGTTGTTTCCTGACTTGTTAATTTTAGCCATTCTGACACTGTAATGTGATATCTCAATGTTGTTTTGATTTGTATTTCCTTGATGATGAGTGAGGCTGAGCATTTTTTCATGTGTCTGTTAGCCATCAGTATGTCTTCTTTGGAGAAATGTCTATACATGTCTTCTGTCCACTTCTTAACTGGATTATTTATTTTTGAGGTATTGACTTTGATACGTTCTTTACAGATTTTGGATACTAGCCATTGATCAGATATGTCATTCACAAATATTGTCTCCTATTTTGTAGGTTATCTTTTAGTTTTGTTTATTGTTTCCTTTGTTATGCAAAAGATATTTATTTTGGCAATGGGTTTGCCACCAGAACACAGGTGTCATGAAAACCACCACTAAACCTAAACCAAAATGGGAAGGGAAAAGACTCACATCAACATCGTCATCATTGGACACGAAGATTTGGGCAAGTCTACCACTACTGGCCATCTGATCTACAAATGTGGTGGGATCGACAAAAGAACTATCGAAAAATTTGAGAAGGAGGCTGCTGAGATGGGAAAAGGCTCCTTCAAGTATGCCTGGGTCTTGGATAAACTGAAAGCTGAACGTGAACATGGTATCACCATTGATATCTCCCTGTGGAAATTCGAGACCAGCAAGTATTATGTGACCATCATTGATACCCCAGGACACAGAGACTTTATCAAAAACATGATTACAGGCACATCTCAGGCTGACTGTGCTGTCCTTATTATTGCTGCTGGTGTTGGTGAATTTGAAGCAGGTATCTCCAAGAATGGGCAGACCCATGAGCATGCCCTTCTGGCTTACACACTGAAGGTAAAACAACTGATTGTTGGTGTTAACAAAATGGATTCCACTGAACCACCCTACAGCCAGAAGAGATATGAGGAAATCATTAAGGAAGTCAGCATCTACATTAAGAAAATTGGCTACAACCCTGATACAGTAGCATTTGTGCCAATTTCTGGTTGGAATGGTGACAACATGCTGGAGCCAAGTGCTAACCTGCCTTGGTTC